ATTTTTTAGATCATCATTTAGTTCATTCCAAATCTTTGCACCTCTATATGATAAGCTTTTTTTTTTATAGTCAGTTTTTGGTTTTGGTAGTGTTAATATTGGTTTAGTTCTGGTATCATAGTAATTATTTCTAAAGAGAAATTTGTTTGATAGATATTGAGGTGCAAGGTTGTTCATAATTTTAAACATGATAATAGTCTCATTTATATACAATCGTTGTTCCAAATTCATCCATTTAAGGCTTTGAAGAGCTTGTGTACTGGAGTCACTTCTTGATTTGTTTGTAATAATTTTTGCTGCCCGGTTTTGAAGAATTTGAAGCGTTTTACTTTGAATTTGATTTGAGCGTCCCCATACGACATGACAATATTCGAGGTGTGGAGCCATTAGGGATTTGTACAGTTTGCACTGAACATCTTTTGAAAGAATTTGGCTAGTCTTTTTTAGATAGTACAAGTTCTGCAATGCCTTAGATTTCACATGACTTACTTGTGAACTCCAAGAAAGATTCTTATCAAGAATTACACCAAGATGTTTGCATTGATTAACACAAGTGATAGGTTCTCCATCAATGTTTATATCAATTTGAAGATTTGATATGTTTGATAATTTTTGTCTCAAACCTATTATCATGTATTCAGTTTTCTTAACATTTAAACTCAGTTTATTAGATATGAGCCATTTCTTAATTTCTATCAAATCATCATTAATTGTTGCAGTTAAATTATCAACATTTTTATCTACATAATATATACAGGTGTCATCGGCATACATTGAAACTGTGGATTTATCGACAGTTCTAGGGAAATCATTCATATACAGGAGGAATAGCAAGGGTCCTAATATAGACCCCTGAGGGATCCCACATATACTGTGACATTCTTCAGAATCTGCTCCATTTACAATAGTTATATGAGTACGGTCTTGAAGATAGTGAACCATTTGATAACACTTAGGTGAAGATTGAAAGAATAAAGCTTGTTGATTAGTTTGTGGTGGTCTACTGTGTCAAATGCCTTTTTAAGGTCAATCATTACTATTCCTATAAGGTTTCCTTTATCAATTGCTTCTAACCAGTTTTCTGTGATATTTAGTAATGCGGTTGTTGTTGAATAGCCTGGCCTAAAGCCAGATTGATTTTCATATAGCATGTCATTTTGGTTTAAAAAATGATACAATTGTTCAAAAACAGTTCTTTCAAGGATTTTTGATAGAACTGGAAGGACTGAAATTGGCCTGTAATTATTGCAGTCATTTCTAGAACCTCCTTTACGCACTGGGCAAATTTGAGCTTTTTTCACTTTTTTGGAACAGATGAATTTGAGAGGGACAAATTTACAATGTAAGTTACAGGATAAACAATTATATCAATGACAAGTTTAACCATATTAGCTGGTATTTTATCAATTCCAGTAGCTTTTTTTTGATGAAAGCAAGTTTAAGAGTGTATAGATATACTCTACATCAACATTTCCAAAAGTAAATTTATCATTGTTAGTATTATTAGTATTATTAGTAGTATCATTATTATTTGTATTGACAGGTGGGTCAACATGAGGAATATTTTCGGCAAGTGTTGGACCAATATTTGCAAAGTACTGGTTTAATGAATCTATAACAGTAGCTTAATGTTTAAAACGACAGAACGCAGACTTTTGACAAGTATTATTATTATGGAAATTAGTATTATGTCAATTCCGTTTTTCTTTTAATATTTCCCTCAGTGAAGAGGATGGGCCGATCCTGGAGGTACTGCAATACCAGGCCAACCCGTGGCCAGGACGGAGCAAGCTCCTACTCCATGGCCTAATTTCAAAAATCAGTTTAATATAGAAGCTAATCAATGAGCAGCGTTTCAGATATTAAGCTGAAAAGAACAGATACTACACATGATCTTAGCCAAAAGGCCAAGAAGCGATACCCTACAAATGCTTCCAATGATACTAATATAAAATAACAGTTTGCTAAACTACCGGTGTTGGAAATGCTCAAGTTTATTAATTCAATATAATATTTGACTCTAACACATTTTAAATAAATATTTATATATATATATATATATATATATAACTTAAAATATATGTTAATGTACAGAAAAAAACCTCAATTGTAGACAATGTATTTTTGTAAAACATTAACGAAATTTTGGCATACGCTAATTTAGTAATTTGCATATGAATAAATGGACACAATCAGTAACAAAAGCCTATAAATTCTAAAAGCAAACACAGACAGTTGTTATTCATTTTGTTGTAAACAGATTCCAGTGAAAGGGGGAATCAGTGGATTGTACACCTGGTAGAGATAACCTGATGTTTATATTACTCAAACTTCTAACATGTTTACTTTTAAATTAATTAATTAATTAATATATAATATAATAATGTATAGTTTGTGTTTAAAACGAGGAAGGCAAACTCTTCATTATCGAGATAAGTATCATTATTATGTAAATTAGTAATATGTGGAATCTGTTTATATTTTTATACTTCCCTCAGTTGGAGGATTGGCCGATCCTGGAAGTATTTGCAATGAAGCGAGAAGCGATGCTCAAACAATGGTTCATACGAATATAAAACATCATCTTGCTAAACTACCGGTGTTGGAAATGCTCAAGTTCATTAATTCCATATAATATTTGACCTTAACACATTTGAAATAAATAATTATATACTGAATATAATCTAAAATATATGTTAATTTACAGAAAAAACAAATTCTATGTATTTTTGTAAAATATGAAAAAAAATGTTGGCAAATGCCTATTTAGTAATTTGCATATAAAGAAATGGTAACAATCAGAAAAAAAAAACCCGATTAATTCCTAAAGCAAACACAGATAGTTGTTATTCATTTTGTTATAAACAGATTCAAGTGAAGGAATGTTCAATGCACTGTACAACTTATATAGATAACCTGGTCTTTATGTCACTCAAACTTTTAACTTGTTCATTTGTAAATTAATTAGGTAATGTATAAAATGAGTAATGTATAACAGTATATAACAGATACTGGTAGTTCATCTTCAGGAATCTATAACAGCAGCTTGTTTAAAACGACAGAACGCAGACTTTTGACAAGTATCATTATTATGGAAATTAGTATTATGTCGATTCTGTTTTTCTTTTAATATTTCCCTCCGTGAAGAGGATGGGCCGATCCTGGAGGTCAAGCCGACACTCTATACTCTACATGGCAGCACTGTTACTAGCGCTGTATCACTTTGTAGGCGATGACGCATTCGCACTCAGAAATTGGCTGATGAAACAACGAGGTCCAACGAGAAATTATATACAGCTACAGGTTGTCTCGTGCCCGTCTTGTCGTAGAGAATGCATTTGGTATATTGTCTCACAGGTAAATTTAATACACAGTTAAACTTACCTAAGTCGACCTTGCCTAAGTCGAATAATTTCTAAGTCGATTAAATTTTACATGCCAAATTGTGTTTTCCAATAATTTAACAATCTGTAAGTCAAATTTTATCTAAGTCGAATAAACAATGTTTTTGATTTGATTTAGGCATGTTCGTTATAAATATCGATTTGAATTTGATGACCTCTGGTGCATTTTCATTCCTTCTTCTGAGCAAGATGTTTTTTTTAAATTACTATTTATTACAGATGTTACATATTTTCATAATCTTATTTAAGGTTCTGGTGTTTCTTGACTATGATGCAACAACACCCCGAGACGATCAACCTGATCACCATGTGCGCCTGTGTTTTACATAACCTCATACTGACCAGATATCCACTCGCGACGACAGATGCGGACCATGAAGATCCAGCAACACATGCTCTGATTCCTGGGGCATGGAGGGAAGATTTGACATGACGGTCTTAATGCATCTATCCGGCCACAATTCCAAGAAAGAGGCAAAGGAGCAGCGTGATTATTTGTCATATTATTTGTCCCCCGCTGGCTCTGTTCCTTGGCAAGAAAGAATGGTCACCCCTCTGAGCCTCAATCATATTTAATGTCACGACCACAGATATGGACTATAAAAATCCAGCAACACATGCACATATGAATGTTTATAATGTGTTATTATGTAACAAGGAATGAAATTATTTTATGTTACACTTTAAGATACTGTATATGTTAAAAATTATTGGGCAAAAGATGAATGGAAGATAATAAAAGAAAAGGATAAAAAATTCCAATTTTTCTCTCTTTTCTCCCAACACCCACTATATTGATTTCAGCTTGTTCGCTTTTTTTTTTTTGGAAGGGTGGTGGGGGGGGGGGGACAGTATTTTTTTTCTTATTATCAAGTTTAGCAACAACAAATTAGCATTCAACAATTTTTATTTATACGTATGAAAAAAGTAACAATTTACAAGTCACTCAGACTTAACAGGGTAATCAGAAAATAAAAAACACCTCAAATGTATAATCTCATTTACAACAGCACAAAACAGACTCCTGTTTTGTGCTGTTGTAAATGCATAATCTCATTTACAACAGCACAAAACAGGAGTCTCACAGATATTAAAAATGCCTACTCTATGTCCTCCAGGCTGCTATCTGCTGACCCTAGAGTTAAGGCAAGTGATGTCACTGGGGTCTTGAAAGTGGGAGACTTGCTGACCGCGGTAGACTGTCGCGTAGCTGGGACAGACTGTCCTGAACGACTTAGCATACGGACATGAGTGGATGAAGGGGCAGCTGGCACCCCTGGGTCCGAGTGACTGGTACCTGTCCACCGAGGCCAGGCTTGAGTCAGCTGCTGTGAGTTCTATGGCTGCTGCCATGATTGAGGGTGCTGCTGCTGGGATGACTGCCAGGCTTGCTGCTGTGGGGGCTGCCAGGATTGCTGTTCTGAGGCCTGTGAGGTTGGAGGTTGCTGATGCTGCTGGTGTTGCTGCAGTTGTTGCGTACCTTCACCACGCTTTCTGAACCTTTGGACAAGGTTCAGGCAATCGATCTCAAAGTTATGCCAGGAGTCCTCTGGTATCGCCTGCATATGTCCTTCCAGCAAACAGACGAAGTCGTTAACAATTTTTCGGTGCCCGGATAAATTAGAAATGTGTCCCATGTAGTCAGCTTTGGAGAGCATCTAAAACAGACAAATATTGTCGCATATAACAGTAATGTCATGTACAGCATTTCATCAAAAATTGTATTAAAATATGAGAGAACATAGAAAAAAAAAATATTCCATGAAATTCTCACCTGCCTGACAGCTTCACTCAGGTTAGTCTGTGTGATGGAGGAAGCAGGCGAAACACTGGAAGTAAAGGATATGGTAGATGGTGTGGCAGAAGGAGGCCTTGACCTCTTGCCTACCCCTTTCCCCATTCCCAAAATAACAGGTACATGTGAGCCTGCAGAAGACAGGTCATCATCCAGTTCTTCCTCATCAGTCCCAGTTACTGTCTCTGCTGACCCTTGAATGGCAAACTAAATAAAGAGAATATAAAAAATAAATACAAATCAGACTAATTAATATAAATGTAGACAAACTGAAACAATTTCAAATTCATTAGAATTACACAGATTAATTGAGATAATTTCTGCATATCATTATTTTAATCTAAAGGTAAAGTGTATATGTTTTGGATCAAAATACTGACCTCCTCACTAGGCTTTGTGTTACCACGGACTCCATGTTTCCATGATCTCCTGGTCCTTAACACTCTTCTCAGGTTGCCCAGCACCACTTTTCTTTTCCTTCTTCATTATCTTGCCCACTCTGGTTCTCATATTCTCATAGAGCTTCTTGCACTGGGCACCTAGAAAATAGATAAAGGAACAAAATATTAAATGCAATAAAATAATAATTTTAGTGAAGTAAATTCAGTTCCATAATGCAGTGACATTATTACAACAGAAATCAGATAATATATCATAATAATTCATTCAGAAAATTTAGAAATTCATTCAATACTTTAATCAGGGAAGAAAATGGAAAAATTGCATACCAGAGGCAGGAGGTTCCTGTTGTTCTCCAGCCTTTGTCCATAATTGGGATTTGGCAGCCACATTGAGCCAGTACTTCTGTCTCTTGTCATACAACTGTGGGTGGTCTTTTACATATTCTGCTAATTTTCTGGTACGCTCATCTCTCCACTTATACTCAGGAATTTCTTTCTTGGACACTCTGATTCTCCTCTTCCTTTTTACTGTGGGCTCTTTTTCACTTGACTGTTGTATTTCAGTCTCTGTAATAACTTCATGTTGTGTCTCTGAAACAACATTCACACTTGAGAAGGAAGAAGGGTCATCCTTTTCTCTGTCCACAATCTCCCTCTCTTTCTCTGTATCTGTCTCTGGCGTGTCCTCTTCCTGTCTTTTCTGCAAATGTCTTCCCATTCTTCCACTGGCTTTCTTCTTGGGAGCCATGTTGTCTGTTTGCTGGCAAGCTTTGGTATGGCCTGGACCCGATTTTACTGTATACGTACTGACGCAAGCTGACGCGCCCACAACATTGTGGATAGATCGTAAACAATGCGTGACATGACGTGTCAGCGCGTGTAGTAGATTGCCATGGCACGCATTGACAAGCACCCTTCGGCAGTGTTTGCGCAGTGTTTATGCAGGTGTCACGCATACTGCACGAAAAATGATGCGCGTTGAATGTTTGAACATTTCGAAATTCTCTCTACGACATGGCACGCACCCCCGCACCTTTCACGTACTCCTCATGCTTGTTCCCGAAGACTTTAATCATTGGCAATCAATCAATCAATCAGGCAGGGTAGACAAATTGGCATTTTATTAGAGTTATTTTTAAGATGCTGCCATAAAGAAGCGCTAACGTATGTTCTGGTGCAGCACCCAAATAATTACTTTGCTATTGTGTAACAGCATGGAGGAAATATATTCCCCTATGTTTACTGCAATGCACAAACATAAAGAAAAGATATTTTAGTACGTCACATTCCCCTTCCTTTGTGATACCGCCGATAGCGCGTAGCGGTGAACTTCACCTCTGCTTTGTGCGCCGCCGACTGTAAAGTAAAGATTCCGTGGGAAGAAAAGGCAGACAAAGGAATTTGATGGTGGCAATCACCCTCTGCTGGGAAATTCTTACTCTCGTCGTCTTGACGACGGCTTTTAAACACACACACAAAAAAAAAAGATTAGAGAACACGTAGGTCTACAATAAAATTATAGACATTTTAATAGAATTTCGACATCTTTTTTCGTTCAAATTAGGAGATAAAAAATAGCATATAAATCTCGAATGAACAATCCAATACCCTACAATACTAGCAACGGTGTTTACAATACTTTTTTGACGATATACACGCTGCAGTTCTTCTTCAACGCAAAATTTTCGCATCCATAGTTGGGGTGGGAGTTCTACACGTGGCAGTATGATAATTTATAATTTATAGCCTTTATAGTTTTTAATAAGTATTGAAGTCAACAATAAGTATACCTTGGTATCTGTTAATGTTAAATTAATTTACAATTTTCCCTTGTACGTTTTTTTTTTAGAGAAACACATGGACCTTGTGAAAACCTACACAACGCACCAATTGCCCGGGCAGTAAGAGCTTTAAATGCTGCTTCTAAGGAGCGACTGAAGAAACTATTTAACATGGTGTATATGTTGGCAGCGAACGCCAAGCCAAGGTGATATGGAGATGCAATGCGAATTGGTGCAGAAACTAGGTGTTGACATCGGCACTAATTACGGGAACCGATTCAAAGCACGGGAATTTGTTCACTCAATTGCAGAGGCTATATGGAACGCCAAAAGGAGTCAGCAGTGCAAAACTTAAGCGGAATTTTACATTTCCGGACAATTGTTATATTTTTACTATGGACGTCAGCTCGCTTTACACATCGATTCCCATTAATGATGGACTGTCAGCATTAAGACACTTTGTTGAACGTGAAGATTTGGTCACTCACTCTACCTCAGCTATAGTACACCTTGCCGAACTGGTCTTAACTACATCCACATTTACCTTCAATGGAAAGTATTACCAACAGATCTCTGGGGTCAGCATGGGCACCAAAATGGGACCTAGTTTCGCATGCTTGTTTATGGGATATTTAGAGGAGCAAATATTTAACAGATATACTGGCAAGATACCTGAACTACCAGTATATAAACATTATATAGATGACTGCATAGGAGCTACATCGTCAACTCGCGAAGAACTAGAACACTTTATTGAATTTATTAATGACTTTAATCCTGCAATCAACTATACCAACAAAACCTGCCTTTCCTGGATATATCTGTTGAAATTAAAGACTTGCGTTTGTCATCATCAGTTTACTACAAGCATAATATATTTATTTTTCTTTTTCATCACTATTTAAATTCAACATAGAGAAGATACAGAATCAAAAACGGAAAAAAAAATATAGAGAAGCCCTAGACTCGTCCATATAACAGGACATGCAAGGGAGACAAAGAGAGACATTCGCAAAGAATAGGGTTACAAGACAGATGGAAGATGTTTAAAAATGTATGATTGACAGTACAGTACTCGAAAATAAAACTGAAAAATACAGAATTCAAAAGTTTCTTAAAAAATTGGATTTAGGAAAATAAAGCGGAAAATTTATACATATATATATATATATATATTTACATATTTGTATACAATATCGACCAAGTACAGTATAATAACAATAAGAAAAAAAAAACAAAATAAACAAACACATAACAAATTTTAAACTGATAAACATCTCTTTCGTATCGCTATTAATCACTATATTAACACGGCTTGTCATCTGTGAGGGCCATAGGTCCTAGAGTAACCTCCGGGAGTTTAGTCTTGGTACTATCGTGATTATTTTTTATTTATAAAAGTTGAAAAGCGGGATAATTCGGAGTTTGGGCGGGGCAGCGGGACACGACCCCGTCTAGGGCGTCTAGAAAACAAAAAAAATCGCGGGGGAATGCCCCAGGACCCCCTAGGCTAGTGTTGCCTCACTCTTTGTTTTGCACCAAGTTTTGCACTGCCGCTTAAGTTTTTGCACTACTCAGTTTTGCACTGCTGACTCTGTGTTTTACACCCCTCAGTTTTGCACTGCTGACTAAGTTTTGCACAGATACTTGATTCCATAAAGCACAACTCAGTCATAATAGACTTTGAGCAAGTGATAAAGTGGTTGTACAAGTTTTACAACAAATTTAAGAAGGACTTGTATGCTGTTGCCACTCATCTTCAAGAGGTCGCAACTGGTAATTCAGACAAAGCTGCTAAGGCTCATCATTTTCATTAGGAAGTAGCCAGTGTCAAATTTTAAAAAATGCTGCATTTGATGATCGACATTCTTGATCCCCTCTCACATTTGTCCAAGGTATTATTTAATGTCTATAGGAAAACTCCAAACTATATAGCATCATAAAATACTAAACAGACATTGCATTTATGTTACAGAAATTATATTCTCTGAGATAAAGCACAAAGCGAATCGTCATGTACTGTACTTTCAAACCGTTTTTTTTAAAAAGAAAAGTTAAAGATTTATTAGTTATGTGGGATTGGTATTGATCATACTTTAATGTAATGGTTCTAGTTTTTCCAGACGGATGACTTGCTGGTATTCAATTTGAGGCATGTGCAATGAGTCTTATCAACTTGAAAGGACAATAATGGAAGAAACATGGAAGAATTTAACATCACAATTTAGACATACGAAATAAGAGATTTCTCGCCAATGGGGAATTTCCATTACAGCTGGTTGGGGCATGCCCCCCAACAGACTACAAAGACAGAGCTACAACAAAGCTCATTGATGACATTTTAAAGTACATTGATGCAAGGTTTGTAACAACAGGCAGAATAGTTTCATATATAAAAAGATGTTACCAGACAGTACAGTACTTCACAGAAACCACACTTAGAAAGTGAATATGCAAACAAACAATAGGGTTTCTTTTACATAATTGTATAGCTATATTTATTAAGTAATACAACTACTGTTTTTTTCTTTAAAGTTTTAGATTTGACAATTTCCGCCGTGAACCACTGAAGTCATTCAGTGTGTTCAACTTCCGAAGCTGGCCTGAAACACGTGCCGAGTTGGCAGCCCTCGGTGTTAAGGAATTAGACACCATATTGCACCATGACTATCATGTAATATCAGAAGAAGAGGAGCAACAGTCAACAATGGATCAGTTTTCCCTTTTCAAGGCACACATAAATGAGACCTACAAGCAAAAGACACCACTTGCAGTTTACACCCAATTGTTGCTGGATGCCCCACCAGCCTTTCCTGCTGTTCTAAAAGTAGTTGAACTGATGCTAAGTATGAGCGTTTCTACTGCAACATGTGAGAAAACCTTCTCAGCTATGAACCTTTTAAAGACAGCCCAGAGAGCAAGGATGAATCAGGACACCATGCAAGATTTAATTCTTGCGCAAATTGATGGTCGAAGCATCACAGAATTCGATCCAGAGCCAGCAATAGACCACTGGCTTACTTCAGGAGGTACTCGATGGCATATGCATTAGAAGTCACCTAAGTGTAGAGTTCACAAGTTGAAAATTGTGATAGTTTTTTTATATTGATCATCGCAAATCATGTATTATTCCATGAAAGAGATTCTGCCTGATCAGGCCAATAACAAGTTTCCAACTAAAAATTAAAGAGGCGCTCCATATTAAATGGACTGAGCCATCACTCAACAAACAAGTGCAGCATTACAAAATCACTGTATGCATAATGGAACAATCTGCCACGTTGTAACTTTCTTACGAGTTGACAGTGAGACAAATATCTAATCACCTGCATTTCAATCTACCATCTCGTCTGAGTATAAGTAGTGTAGGTTCTTTTTGTTTTATTTTGTTCACTGAAGATATCTGTGTGATACAGAAGAAACATATCTGATATTTCTTTAATTAAATCTTTGTTTATTGCACTTATATTTGTGTTGCTTTTAGTTTCTTGTCGATAGTTTGGGTATATCATTCATGATTTACACAACAACAGTGATGTTTGTAAACAAGATTGCATAAGAATTGAAAAACTCCGCAAACAAGTAAGAAAAGCTGAAGCTGACATTAATTTTTTCAACGATCTAAAATATATGTTATATATTAATTCCAAAAGCAAACACAGATAGTTGTTATTCATTTTGTTATAAACAGATTCGAGTGAAAGGAGGTTTCAATGTCAATTTATTGTCATTTGCAACGCTCCCATTACATTACATTACATAGAAATTACTGTGGCTCTTTTTCACATTACAACTAAAGTACAACACAACAGACGAAGTAGCACTAAAGAGAGAAATATCAGAGTAACAGTGTTATTGAATTGTATGGAGGGCCCGGATGGCTGATGGAAAGAAAATCTTTTGGTACCTACTTGTACGAGCATAAATTGAACAATATCTTCTACCACTGGGAAGCAATTCAAAGAGA